TTGTCGTCACCAGGACGTCCAGGTTTGTCATCTCCAGGACGACCGGGTTTATCGTCTCCGGGACGTCTCGGTTTCTTGTCTCCGGGGCGTCTCGGTTCGTCATCTTCAGGCTCGTCAGGGAATTGAGATGTATACCGCGAGGTAACTGTCGTCTTCGTTGTCTGGACAGTGTAGCGATCAGGGCTTTCAGGACGGTCCCTGTCGGGAGACTCGTCCCCAGGACGATCAGGTCTCCCCTGTGACGGTCTTCTCGGGGAGCCATCTTCTGGGGTTTTGTCACCAGGGCGCCTGGGCTTATCATCACCAGGACGACGCGGCTTGTCATCCCCAGGACGTCCAGGTTTGTCATCCCCCGGACGCCGTGGCTTGTCATCTCCAGGACGACGCGGCTTGTCATCTCCAGGACGACCCGGTTTGTCATCCCCAGGACGTCCAGGTCTGTCATCTCCAGGACGACGTGGCTTGTCGTCGCCAGGACGCCGTGGCATGTCATCCCCAGGACGGCCCGGTTTGTCATCACCAGGACGTCCAGGTTTGTCATCTCCAGGACGACCCAGTTTATCGTCTCCGGGACGTCTCGGTTTTTTGTCTCCCGGGCGCCTCGGTTCGTCATCTTCAGGCTCGTCAGGGAATTGAGATGTATACCGCGAAGTAACTGTTGTCTTCGTTGTCCGGACAGTGTAGCGATCAGGGCTTTCAGGACGGTCCCTGTCGGGAGACTCGTCCCCAGGACGATCAGGTCTTCCCTTTGACGGTCTTCTCGGGGAGCCGTCTTCAGGGGTTTTTTCACCAGGGCGCCTGGGCTTATCATCACCCGGGCGCCGCGGTTTGTCATCTCCAGGACGGCCTGGCTTATCATCACCAGGACGACGTGGCTTGTCATCCCCAGGACGGCCTGGTATGTCATCACCAGGACGTCCAGGTTTGTCATCTCCAGGACGACCGGGTTTGTCGTCTCCAGGACGTCTCGGTTTCTTGTCTCCTGGGCGTCTCGGTTCGTCATCTTCAGGCTCGTCAGGGAATTGAGATGTATACCGCGAGGTAACTGTTGTTTTTGTTGTCTGAACAGTGTAGCGGTCAGGGCTTTCAGGACGGTCCCTGTCGGGAGACTCGTCCCCAGGACGATCAGGTCTCCCCTTTGACGGTCTTCTCGGGGAGCCATCCTCAGGGGTTTTGTCACCAGGGCGCCTGGGCTTATCATCACTAGGACGCCGCGGCTTCTCATCTCCAGGACGTCCAGGTTTGTCATCTCCAGGACGACCTGGCTTATCATCACCAGGACGACGAGGCTTGTCATCCCCAGGACGGCCTGGCTTGTCGTCTCCAGGACGACGCGGCTTGTCATCCCCAGGACGTCCAGGTTTGTCATCTCCAGGACGACGTGGCTTGTCATCCCCAGGACGCCGCGGCTTGTCATCCCCAGGACGCCCAGGTTTGTCATCTCCAGGACGACGTGGCTTATCATCACCAGGACGACCTGGTCTGTCATCCCCAGGGCGTCCGGGCTTGTCGTCACCAGGACGACGTGGCTTGTCATCGCCAGGACGCCTTGGCTTGTCATCCGCAGGACGTCCAGGTTTGTCATCTCCAGGGTGTCCGGGTTTATCATCTCCGGGACGTCTCGGTTTCTTGTCGCCTGGGCGCCTCGGTTCGTCATCTTCAGGTTCGTCAGGGAATTGAGATGTATACCGCGAGGTAACTGTTGTCTTCGTTGTCTGGACAGTGTAACGGTCAGGGCTTTCAGGACGGTCCCTGTCGGGAGACTCGTCCCCAGGACGATCAGGCCTTCCCTTTGACGGTCTCCTCGGAGAGCCATCATCAGGGGTTTTGTCACCAGGGCGCCTGGGCTTATCATCACCAGGACGACGCGGCTTATCATCCCCAGGACGGCCTGGTTTGTCATCCCAAGGACGTCCAGGTTTGTCATCTCCAGGGCGACGTGGCTTGTCATCTCCAAGGCGACGTGGCTTGTCATCACCAGGACGACCAGGCTTGTCATCTCCAGGGCGACGTGGCTTGTCATCACCAGGACGTCCAGGTTTGTCATCTCCAGGACGATCGGGTTTGTCGTCTCCGGGACGTCTCGGTTTCTTGTCTCCGGGACGTCTCGGTTCGTCATCTTCAGGCTCGTCAGGGAATTGAGATGTATACCGCGAGGTAACTGTTGTCTTTGTTGTCTGGACAGTGTAACGGCCAGGGCTTTCAGGGCGGTCCCTGTCAGGAGACTCGTCCCCAGGACGATCGGGTCTTCCTTTTGACGGTCTCCTCGGGGAGCCATCTTCAGGGGTTTTGTCACCAGGGCGCCTGGGCTTGTCATCACCAGGACGACGCGGCTTATCATCACCAGGACGGCCTGGTTTGTCATCCCCAGGACGACGTGGCTTGTCATCCCCAGGACGCCGCGGCTTATCGTCCCCAGGACGGCCTGGTTTGTCATCCCCAGGACGACGCGGCTTATCATCCCCAGGACGGCCTGGTTTGTCATCTCCAGGACGTCCAGGTTTGTCATCTCCAGGACGACGCGGCTTGTCATCCCCAGGACGGCTTGGTTTGTCATCCCCAGGACGTCGAGGTCTGCCATCTCCAGGACGACCGGGTTTATCGTCTCCGGGACGTCTCGGTTTCTTGTCTCCTGGGCGTCTCGGTTCGTCATCTTCAGGCTCGTCAGGGAATTGAGATGTATACCGCGAGGTAACTGTTGTCGTCGTTTTCTGGACAGTGTACCGGTCAGGGCTTTCAGGACGGTCTCTGTCAGGAGACTCGTCCCCAGGACGGCCAGGCCTTCCCTTGGACGGTCTCCGCGGAGAACCATCTTCAGGGGATTCTTCACCGGGACGTCGGGGCTTGCCATCTCCAGGACGACCGGGTTTGTCGTCATCCGGTCGACCTGGCTTTTGGTCACTCGGACGACTTGGTTTTTTATCACTGGGACGACCTGGTTTGTCGTCCCCGGGACGACGTGGCTGATCCTCTCGGGGTCGTTTCGGCTGGTCGTCTTCAGGCCGTCCAGGTCGGTCATCTCCGGGGCGACTGGGTCTCTTGTCGCCCGGCCGTCTCGGTTCGTCATCTTCAGGCTCGTCCGGGAACTGAGATGTGTACCGTGAAGTGACCGTCGTCTTTGTTGTCCGGACAATGTGACGGTCAGGACTTTCGGGACGGTCTTCGTCGGGAGACTCGTCACCTGGACGGCCCGGCCTTCCCTTTGACGGTCTCCTTGGTGAGCCATCTTCAGGAGATTTTTCCCCGGGGCGCCTTGGCCTGCCATCACGAGGACGTCCAGGTTTATCGTCGTCCGGATGTCCCGGTTTGTCGTCTCCTGGACGCCTCGGTTTGTCATCTCCAGGGCGCCTGGACTTGGGTTTTTCCTCGTCGTGACCGGGCTGTTTGGATATTTTTGACAGATAGCGGTCGGTGATCGAGGACTGACGTTTCGTGGTCGACTTCGGTTCCTCGTCATCCGGTTGCCCGGGGCGGTCCGGCCGTTCACCTGGCCGCCGCGCCTGCGGGCTGCGCTGCCGGCCGGGTTCCCTCGGCTCGCGGGGCTCCTTATCTTCGGGGGCGCCCGGCTCGCGCGGCTCTGATCCGCTCGTATACCGCGTGGTGTGGACCGTGCGCGTGGTGCGTGACGTGAAACGCTCCGGCTCGTCCGGTCGCGGATGCTTGGGCTCCTTCTCATCGGGCCGGTCGCCCGGACGCTTGGGCCGTCGCTCGTCCTCAGGTTCCATGGGCTCATCCGGCTCCTCCACCGGCTCGCCGTCGACGTAGCGCACCACGCGCGTGGTGGTGGTGCGCGTGGTGCGCGTGGTCGCGCCGTCGTCGTCGGTGCGCGTGGTGTAGTAGCGTGTGGTGAAACGCTCCGGCTCGTCGTCGGGCTCCGCGCCCGGCTCGCGCACGCTCGTCACATAGCGCGTAGTGAACTGGGGCGTCTTCGTGACGTAGCGGCGCGTCTGTGTGGTGAACTCGGTGTGGTAGCGCGGCTCGTCGTCGGCAGGCTCGTCCTCGGTCGGCGCGTCGAACACGATCTCCGTGTAGCTGCGCGGCTGGCCTGGCTGGCGTGGCTTATAGATGCGGATCACGTCTGTCTGGTCGATGATGCGTCGGATCTCGATCACGCGCGTGCGGTGCACCACGGTGCGCGTCGTCTTCTCGATCTTGAGGATGCCGCGCTCGATGATTTCCTGCAGCGGGATGCGACGGTCGCCATCCAGCATGCGCCCCCACGAGTCCAGCGTGCCCTTCTCCAGCGCCTCCTCCAGGTCCAGCGGCTGGGCGCGCGGCTTCTTGGGCTCCCGGAACGTTGCTGAGGTCTTGTCAATGATGCGTAGTGTCACGCACTGCTCGAAGGTGATGACGCGGTCAGAGCCGGGGAACACGAACGTGCCCGACACTGGGTCCAGGTAATTCTTGCGGATCACCTCGTCCAGATACCAGCCGTCCTCGGGCATCTCGACCTCGATCGTGTCTATCGGCTCCTCCTCCTCAGGCGCGCGGCGGCCCGGTTCCGTCTCGTCGCCCGGCTGGCGCGTGAAGAACTGGATCTTGCTGCGCACGTCGTCCTCCGGTCGCAGCCGCTTCTTGTCCGGGCTCTTCTCGCGCTCCAGCGGGTGCTTCGCCGAGCTCACCTGCGTCAGCCGGACGGACTTGAACTCGGGCTCCTCGTCCATCGGCTCCACGCGCCGGCGCGGCTCCGGGTCCTCCTTTGGCTCCGGCTTCTTCTTGCGCGGAGTCTGCTCGCCCGGGCGAGGCCTACGCCGCGGCGCCTCCGGCTCCTCGTCGTCGATCTCGTAGTACTTGCGGGGCTTCCCCGGCTGTTCCGGCTCGTACACGCGAATGCGGTCGGGTTCGCCGACGATCTCGATTATCTCGACCGTCCGGACGAGCTTGACGCGCGTGCGGCGCACCTCCGTGCGCACGTACTTTCTCTCGATCGCCTCCTCCATGGTGTACTGCTTGCCACGTACTATGTAGCGACCCTGGTGGTCAAGCACTCCCTTGTTCAGCGCCTCCTCGATGTCCAGCGGCTTCTTGGTATCGGGGTCTTCCACTTGCGCTGACTTGCGGTCGATGATGCGCAGCGTCAAGCACTCCTCGAACGGAATCACGCGGTCCGCCTCGGGGAAAGCGAAGATGCAGCGCCGTGGGTCATAGTACTTCATTCGGATGACCTCGTCGAGGTACCAGCCGTCCTCGGGCATCTCGAGCACAGTGGTCGTCTCCTCCTCCTCCTCCTCCTCGACGGTCGGGTGGTCCGGGTGGCCCGTCTGCTTGCGTCGGCGCACCGTGCGCTTCATCACATACTTGCGCACCGTCACCGTCTGCGTCTCCTCCACTTCCTCCCTGGGGCCGGCGCGCCACGCGCTTGTAGATCTTGGTCGTCGTCTCCGGCTCGGCCTCGTAGCTGGAGCGCACGACCCGCGTGGTGCGCGTGGTGCGGCCGAAGCCGTCGTCTGGCGCGGCCGGCGAGCCGGGCGCCTCCTGGCCGGGGCTGGGGCTCTTCTCGGCCGACCAATCGCGCAGCCGCTTCGGCGGCGAGGAGCCGCGCTCGGGGGTCGGCCGCTTCTCGCCACTCCGCGTCACGTATGTGCGGTACGTACGCGTGGTGGTCGAGGTGGTCGAGCGCGGCGCGTACGGCCGGCCCGGCTCGTAGTCAGTCGGCACCTCCTCCAGCAGACCCTCCCGCACCGCCTCGTCCAGCGGCACCTTCTGCCCACTCGACGGCACGATGAAGATGTTGAGCGTCTCGTCGATGTAGCCGCGTCGCACGGCGTCGTCGAACGACATCGGCGTCGGGCGACCCTCCTGGCCCTGTGACGTCACGGTGACGTAGCGCTTGATCGTCTTGGTGACGGTGGCCGTGGTGACCGTGATGTTCAGCATGCTCTTCAGCAGCGAGGCACCCTCGGGCGTAATGTGGCGCCGGTGCACCGCCTCCTCCAGCGGCATGGGCTCCAGCGTCTCCGGGTCGGTGACCTGCCCCGTCTGGGGGTCCAGCCGCGTGCGCAGCACCGCCCGGAAGACGGTCAGCTCGTGGCCGCCCTCATGGATGCCGATCGGTCGCGCCAGCATCTCGTTAATCTGGGGCTGGATGTAGCGCTGTGTGACCGCCTCGTCGAGCGGAATCGCGCGGCCGCTCGAGTCGCGGAAGTCGCCCGTCGTGCGGTTGACGATGCCCTTGGTCAGCGCCACGTTCAGGCTCACGTAGTCGCCCGTGTCCGGGTCCTTGATGCCGTCGATGTCGAAGATGGTCTTGGTGGCGACGGACGTGATCAGGCCGCGGTTCACCGCCTCGTTCAGCGAGAACACGTCGTCCGTCTGCGGGTCGCGGAACTTGCCCTCCGGCAGGATGATGCTCTCGGCGAAGGCCTCCGGCAGCGTCAGCAGCTGCGCCGTCGAAAGGTTCGTCACGCACTTGAGCTGCGTGTCCACGATGCCGCGACGCACCGCCTCCAGCAGCGGCACGCGCTCCTTCGTCACCAGGTCGTAGATGGTGCCAGACGTCTCCATCCTGCCGCCATCGTGGATATCCTTTAGCGTCAGCGGGCGCCCGAGCATGTACTGCTTGACCGCGTCGATTAGAAGCATCCGCTTGCGCGTCTTCTTGTCGATGAAGCGGCCTTGCTCCGGCTTGATGATGCCCTCCTTGATGGCGTCATTGACGGTCAGCTTGACGCCCGTCTCCGTATTCAGCACCTCGTGGATGTTGGGGTTGATGAGGCCGCGGCTGATGGCATCCTGCAGCTGCAGGCGCTCGCCGTTGTTTCGGTCCTCGAACTTGCCGGACACGTAGTCGACCAGACCCTGCTGGACGGCGTCCGACAGCGAGACGCCGCACATGCGTGTGTAGTCGTGCGCCAGCGAGAGCAGGCCACGCTCGAACGCCTCCGGCAGTGGGTAGCGGCGGCCCGACTCGGTGTCGGTAACCTCACCGGTCGTCGTGTCCACCTGACCGGCGATCACCGCCTCCAGCAGGGTCGGCCTGCGCGGCGCGTCACTTACCTGCCGCGGCCGCTCGCCGCGCGCGCCGCTCGGCCCCACGAACGCGCTCAGCTGCGGGTCCATCAGGCCGTCCATCATGGCCTCCAGCAGCGTGAGCGGCCGGTCCGAGCGGCCGTCGAACACGCCCGACTGCTGGTGCATCAGCTGTCGCAGCGCCGGGTCCAGCAGACCCATGCCGACCGCCTCGTCGACCGAGTGGCGCGCGCCGGTCGACGGGTGCAAGAAGCAGCCGCCGCGCGGCTCGAAGAGGCGCCGCTCCGCCGCCTCGCCCAGCGTCAGCGTCTCGCCGGTCTCCGGATGCGTGACGCCGGCCGACTCGAGCAGCGCGCTGGCGGCGCCGCCCGCCTCGATCCGGTAGGAGCGCGTGCGCACCTCGCGCGTCACCGTCTCCGAGCCGTCGGGCGCGCCGCTCGAGTACGAGTACGAGGTGGTGCTCATCGGCTCGGCGCCGCCCTCTGTCACCATCGACGTGACATAGTTGCCCTCCTGGTCGGGCTCCGTGGAGCCGTGCGACGACGTGACATATCTGCGGAGAGGCGAGCGCGCGTCAGACGGCGGGCACCGGCAAACAACACGCGCAAGTCTGACAGCAGCCGCCGGCAAGAAGCGGACAAATGTCGCTCGCTGCCACAGTCGGCGACAGCAAAAGGCATTGCACTGACAGGTGACAATAAAATGCACGTCAATGAGCTCACAAAGACGGCGATCTGACACATGTCAGCGCGCTGACGTGACAATGATCTGACACAAGTCACTGGGGCCAAATAGCCGACGGTCAGACGCACGGCGGCCCGCTGTCAGCACGTCCGCACCAACAGCTCGCACCGGCATAACAGCACGCTGCTTCAATTTATCCTCATAACACTTGACCTTCGTGGCTTTCGCCCATGGTGGAGACGGAGAGCCGCAAACAACAACATCAATTGAGCGCGTCAGATTAACAGGCTGTTATCAATCGTGCAGCAATGCTGGCCAGAGACAGTGCTAGCTTCCCGTCGTAACCAACAATAAACGAGCACACGCATTACATCACCCATCCCCGCGGCTTCAACCCACTGATTCATGGCCGGTGGAATGTCATCGGATGGGGGGGGGGGGGCGGGGGCGGCCGCTCACTGACCGCACAAGTGACACCGGCAACACCTCACAGGGATCGCCAGCAAAAACGCATCAGAACTCCAGCGTCCGCCGACGGTGAGCGCCATCATGACGCAGCGCGGCAGCACGGCTCCAAGTGCCACGCCTCGCGCCGGCAGCTCGCACGCTCCCAGACGCCGCGCGCGAGTCCCTGCTGTCGCTCACGGCGCCACGCGGCGGGACGCGGCCGGCGCGCCGAGAAACAGCCGCTGCGTTGGGAGCGCGGCCAGCTGAGGGCACAGGATGGCTGGCGGTTCGACAGAGCACCGGCGGCTTCGGAGGGGCCGCGCGGGCGGTGCTGTCGCGATGGCACCGATATCGCGACCATCGGTGCAGGAAGTGGCGAATACCGAGCGAAAACAGACGTCATAAGCCGGTCTATGCACGCTGCATGCAAGGCGCGGCGCTTGCATGAATGCATGCTGCACAGCCAATGAAAAGAAACGCCAGCGAACAAACAGGAAACCCCCTCAGCAGCACCATATAGATACAGCGTGTGGGCGGGCCTTAAACCTCACCAGACGACGGCGAGTCCACACGGGCGCGGCGAAAACAAATCTGCGCGGACGTGCCCAGTGGTCGGATCATCACCGTCGCCGCCTCTCCGGCCGTAAACTTGTCAAATCACCGCCTCACAAGGGCGCCTCGATGCCGGCAGAACCGGTTCGGCCGGAGGATGCGGCGGGGGCCGTTTCTCCATTCTGGAGCCGAGCGAGCTCGAAAGCAAATCCTGCACGGGCAAATCGGCCACATATGTCGAAAGCCAGTCCTCCGCAAAACCCGCTCCGGAGGGATTAACAAAGCGTACATGACCGAATCAAATACCGGAGGAGCTCAGAGTCACGTTCTATTTCCGCTGAGCCATTGCGGATTTATGCCTACATCCCGCCTTCTTGGTGGCAGCGGTGGGACGTGTTGCCTCCCCACGGCACCCCCGGTCAGAGAGGATCTCCGACAAGCACCAGCAGCACGTGCCTCACGTCGGCCCGCCGCCGGCCAGAGGGCGCCCGTGCTTTCACCGGGACAGGGACGGTCGTCCGGCGCGAGACGCGCTCTGCGGCCCTCCCCGCCCCCGGGCCGGCGCTCATTCATATTGGGGGCGCGCGAGGCGGCCGGGATGTCGCCCTCCTCCACTGTGGGCGGCACCAGCTCGGGTTGGGACGCGAAAGCCGTTCACTACGGTCGGACGCCGGATGGCGCAGTTTGCCACGAGCTTGCTAAATCGTGCCAACTTGGACGAAGCGCGCCGTTCAACGTAAGATGCTTCTCAAACGGCGTGTTCCCTCCAGGGGGTGGAGGGTTCCATGCATAAAGAGGGACTGCAGTTTCCCCGTTCTTTTCAAAAAAGGTCCATCAATGCATTGCACACTTCGCAATACATTGGTGCATCGCAGTGCATTATGCACTGCAATATTCGCAACGCTTAATGTTCGTCACCTCTTGCAGAAGCAGGCAAGCGCCATGCATAGTCTCATCCATACTAGCCGTTTTCGTGCAATCAAAAAGTATGTGTGGATATAATCTGAACAAAATTAGGGATTCAGGCTGTCACTCATAACGAGGAGCCCTAAAGGAGTTCCAACTTACAATAACAGAGAGGTTATGTTCAGGAATAGATTAAGCAGAGCTATCAAATCAGTCGTGCCCTTGAAGGGTTAGGACACAATTATCACATTTTCTACCCACATCTCAGCAAGCACAACGCGCCGATAAACCATCTCAAAGTGTGTCACCGCATCGCGCATTGGTAAAGATGCTCACATCCAGTCACGTAATGTCAATATTGACAGGCCGGCGGCGCTCGAGCCGCCGCCGCGCCGCGGTTCTCACTATCGGCGCGGTCAGAGCGCGCCACTAGCTCGCTGCCGCCGGCGTGAGTCACACCGACCGGATACAAATAAACAGATCGGAGGGCGTGTTTTTGTCCCCCGGATCAATGCACCGTGGCTAAACACGCGCGAAGGGCCGGTCATCAATCGGTTCTGCTGTCGTTAATCACACGTGCCTGGCGCGAACCGGGGCGAGGCGAGCGCGCCGCGCCCGCCGCCCCGTCAGCTGTTGCTGGCCGCGAGCGCGGGACGGCACGCCACAAGGCCAAGCCCTTCCTGCCGGTCCATGCAACGCGATATTAGGCTTTTTGATGAACCAATTCCGGTTGCCTTTGAGGCCGGCACAAGTGTGCTCCTACCGCTTCCACCCGACGGAATATCATCGCGCCCAGCCCCCCGGGCGGCCCTCGCTCTGCCGGGGGAGCCTCGCGCGCCGGCAGAGTCGGCGCGCCGGCCGGCAGTTCGACCTTGGATTCGGCGCGGCGGCGGCTGCAGGGCACGCGCTGGCGCGGTACAAGGCTGCGCCCGGCGGGCGGCGCCGGCCGAGCTCCGGCCGCGCCATGGCGCGCCGACGGAGCGCACGCGTGACGCGGGCGTGGCGCAGCCCGCGCGTCGGGCACGCGGCCCCTCCAGCGCGCAGGGGGACAGCGGCTGGACCGGCGGCGTTGCGGCCGGCCGGGCCGGCGCTGCTGCCGCCGCCGGGCGATGATGTCATGCGCCGGCCGGTCATGCCGGCCGCTGCACCTGAGCGCAGGGGCCGCGCCGGGAGAGCGGCCACCACCAGCGCCACCTGTAAGCCCCAGACTGACCGGCCGGCCGGCGCGGCTGACCCGGCCTTATCGGACGACCTGCCCGCCCCTCGCAGCGCGACCGAGCGGCGAAAGCGGCCCGCGACAGCAGCTGTGATTGCCCGGCGCCCGGCCGGCGGCTGGCACGCAGGGCGCGCGCCGACGCTGGCTGCCACAGCGAGCGGCCGTGTCGACCCACGCCACGCCACGTCCCAGCCCGGCGCCACGCCGCGGCCCCGGACGTCAGGCGGCTGACGCGCTGATGAGGGGGGCTCCGGCCGCGTGTACGGCGGAGATGGTGACGGGGACAGCGGGGCCCACCGGGGGCCGCGGATGCTGATGGACGTCATTAGGCCTTAACGACACCGCAGCTGTAAATTACGGCCAGCTCGTCACGAGAATTTAACGAGGTAAGGACCGGTTCGAAACCTACACAAAACGATCTGATTTGTAGGAAGAGCCTAATTTCACGTAGAGGCGCAACGGGATGCAAAGAAGTATCCTACAAACAAACGAAAAAGCTTCAGATGGCAATCTGTCTACACTCGACACCCTACAAGTCAGCAAATAACTGGAAACATCTAGGCCAGGCACATGCACCCTGTCTTCTGGGGGACCACAGGAACAAGCTGCGTTGTCTGCTAAAATGTGTTGCTGACAACGAGGATTCTGAGGATTCTGAGGATTCTGAGGACTCTGACGGCAGTGGCGTAGCCAGAGATGGCCAGGCTCAGCACGAAATCGTCTCTGACGCCGCCAATAAGTCACGCCTGTGCACGAGCCGGCGTCACATCGCCACATGGCCGGCAGCACCCCTCAGTCCCGCACCGGGAGAGCGGCCGCCGCGGAGAACCGCGGCATAACTGTGAGGGTCCGCACCAGCGGCAGCACTGGGGTAAGGGGGCGGGAACACCGGCGGCGGCGGTGAAGTGAGCCCCTCCCAACATCGACCCCTCAAATCACTGTAAGGAGGTCCCTCGGTATAGCCCCCACGCATCATCCTTCCAAGCTTGCTCTTCCGCTGCAGGCGGACTCTCAGCTACCTGCCCCTGCCGTCCGAGGTTCCACATCACCGGGACAGCACGCCGCCAGCGCAGCGGAGCGTCCGCCAGACGACAAACCCCACATACTGGCCTCGGGGAGTCCCCGTGACCGCGGATCAGGCGGCCGCCACGGGGAGCGGCTCTGACGCGGCCGGGCACCGCTCGCTGGCCACGGGCGCCGCTCTGACGCGGCCCGGCGCCGCTCGCTGGCCACGGGCGCCGCTCTGACGCGGCCGGGCACCGCTCGCTGGCCACGGGCGCCGCTCTGACGCGGCCGGGCACCGCTCGCTGGCCACGGGCGCCGCTCTGACGCGGCCCGGCACCGCTCGCTGGCCACGGGCGCCGCTCTGACGCGGCCCGGCGCCGCTCGCTGGCCACGGGCGCCGCTCTGACGCGGCCGGGCACCGCTCGCTGGCCACGAGGAGCAGTTCTGACGCGGCCCGGCGCCGCTCGCTGGTCAGCTGTCGGTCCACGGCCACCGCCCTGTGCCGTGCTGCGGTAACCGCAGCACCGCAGCATGAGCGAGCCGGGCCTCCCGACCCTCAAGGTGAGGCGGCGTCTCCCACGAGCGCCGCCGGCCGTCGACGCTTCAAGGTGACCGCGCCGGCCGGCGGCGGCGCCGACGCCGGGGCGTCACGGAGGCGGTGGCACGCCTGGGTCGCTGTGCCGGTCCCGAGCGTCGTTGGGGGCGGGGGTGGGGGGCGAGACTCAAGCGGGGCAGGCAGCGTG